GAGCAATAGGGAACAAACCCTTAACCCTCAACTTGAACTATGTTCACAAAATTAGGAAGATTGACATCCATAGACTTTCCTCAAAGAGGCGTGTTGTGGTCCATCTTCAGCCTCTTTTGCCCACTGAGCCTCCTACCAAAGCAGTGAGGCAAGGTTTCTTGTGCACCCGCCCCTCCGCTGGGGCGGCTTTGTAAGCAGGTGTAGAGTTCCATGCTACTTTACATTTGCATAGCTTGTTGAGTTAAACTAAGCCGTTGTGCATCCATTTTCTCATCATCTTAAAACAACCCTGGAAAGGTCGCCAGAGCAAGTGCCAGTATCTACTTTTTATAGATGAGGAACCTGAGACTTAGCAAAATGAAGTAACTGACTTATCATGCAAGCCGCTCAGGGTGGGTCTAGTTTGTGACTTCCATGTTCAATGCTCTTTCACTTTATCGCAGTTAAATCCCAAACGAAGGAATTGTTCATTATTAAGGACATCAAGCTTTTCCACCCTCACCTGGCTACTGGCTTGTAATTTGTCCAATTACAATGAGGGAAGGAGCCCAGACCTCCAAAATGTTCCCATTGCCATACTGGCTATGCCAGGTAGCATAGCCGGGAAAGGACTGGAATCCAGTCCCAGAATAGGCCACTTACCTAATACTCACATCCTGCAAGTGCCACCCTCCACGAGGACCATGAGATCTAGGGATTCAGACCCTTGGAAAAGTACTAAGAACAGGATGGCTTCTAGGCCATGGCCTAGTTGCTTCTTTTGGAAGTCCTGGCTTCTCTCCATCCCCCTACTCCTTCCCCCACGGCTCTTCCTCCCAGCCAGGTGACATCCTTTAGTTCTTACATTGAGTAAGCATTGAGGAAGCTTGTAACCTAGCAACCACCACTTAAGATTCTCTGAGTCACCTGCAGTTTCCATGCCTGGGCTTCCTGCAACAAGCTGGGGCTTTAAGGAATGCCAAGCTGAGGCTGGGATCCAGTAACCGCCGACACCCCACTCCCCATTCAAGTGTGTAACTACTTTCCCTGTGAGGAATTTCTTCCTCACGTCAAGTCTAAATCCTCTTGCTCTAAGACCTTGTTTTGCATCAGGCCTGGATTTCTCTTTCTTAAAAAGTGTTTGACTTCTTGCCTTGTTTACAGGGTGGCATTGGGAGGATTGGGAAATGGGGAAGGAAAGTTCATAAAAGTCTCTAAAGATTAAGCCGTTGGTACTTTGGAGTCTTTATTTTTGTGATGTTGATGCATCAATCAAACTTGTTGAGGGGTGCTCAGCCCTAGAAAAAATCACTCAGTATTTTATTAAAAAGTCGCATCTGGGGTTTATTCAGGTCTAATTGACATGCAGTAAAATGCACACTTTGACTCAGTATCGATTGAATTTATTGGCTATTCAGCAGGCGCCTGACTTAACCGAACTCTGGTAGGTTTTGAAGAAGTCGGGTGTTGGGGTGGGAGGGCAGCTTCTTCCCAGTAAACCAGGCAGAGTCCCACCGTGGCAGACCATGGACGGAGTCACTGTGTGTAGGGTTTCAAGGGACTGGCGGAATCCCAAGCGTAGGCCACATTTGGGAGAAGGGGAGTTTCGCTCCTGTGGCAGCTCTTTCTCCCTCCACAGAAATACTAAACTACCCTCTTGTCAGTGGGCGCCGCCAGAACGCCCTCTGTGCTCCTATGCTGGCTGGAGGGACCCACCTGGAGCCCCCCGAGGCTGAGATCCCTTTCTCTCTGTAGTTCTCTTTCTGCAACGCCCCACAGATCATGTGGGAACAGGGAAGCGTGTGGACTCTGGAATTGGACTAAATCCTGGCTCGGCTACTCTCTCGCTGTGTGACTGAATAAGTCACTGTCTCCCTAAATCTCAGTTTCTCGTCTGTGAAGAAAGGAAGAAGGAAATCTACTTTCTGGAGTTGTGGGAGCATGAGATGCCGGGCGTAGTTCTTGGGCAGGTACTAGGTACTCTATCAAGGTCTTCTCTCTCCCATGGTGATGGCCAGTTTCCATACCTCCGAGTGTGTGTGATCGGGCCAGTGCACCTGACCAGCAGACACCAACCTCACAAGGTAGGCACCTTACTAGGGCCCACACCCTCCTGATTCCAGATATTTTGGGGCCTCTGTGTTGAACAGGATATCTTTCCTCCTAGAGAACAGAAACCTTTTCCTCTGTGGCCTAATGTCATTCTAATCTGGAGAACAGCTGGTGACCTTCCCTTAGATAATCACCTCCGTTATTCCACATCTGGAAGCTATATTCCGGAGGTGGGCAGCGAGGATGGCTCACCCAGTTAGGGCTCAGGCTGCCCGCAGACCAAGGAAGAAGAAATTCCTCCCCGCATGGGAGAGCCTCACTGGGGCCTCCTCCCATCCAGTCCTGACCTCGGCCCAGAGGAGGGATTTAGGGCTCAAGTGGACTTGATTGGAGATGATGTGACGCAGGTGCCAGCAGTCAGAACCATAATCTACATCTGTTCACATGGCACCCTGGGGTGGCCATCTGGGGTTCTGCAGAATTCAGACAGTAGGGCTCCCCCTTCTGACCATGTGGCTTTAAGTAGAGTTGAGTTAGCTACCTTCCTTCAATTACCCACCCTGTTCTCTTTTCCTCCTTTCCTCTAGAGCCTGGCTTATGTCTGGAGCCAAGAGGGACTCAATGGGTACCAGTTAAGGAATGCATCTGTCCACTTGTGAGCAACTTCTTGCCTATTTAGGCAAAAAACGGGACATTGGAAAGTGCATTTCAGGCATGGGATGGTGGAGTGAGGGGAAGGGCTCATCTTGCTTTTCAGACTCAGGAGTTGCACAATTTAGGGAAGAAAGAATGGGGAAGCCACACTCCTCTGCTGTTGAATGCATAAGACAATCGTGACAGAAGGAAGGGAAACCTTCTCTAAAAGATCCTATGTTTATTGAGGAAGTTGTAAAAGGAAATGGGCTTATATTAAAGCCTGAGGATCTGGGTTATAAACGGGGAAGAATTTCCTGCCTAGGAGCATCAGAAAATTCAAACACCCATATGAGGTGAGGTGAGCTGAGAGGCTGGGGTGTCACCTCCCCTGGGAGATACCAGAAATAGAAAAGACACAGGACTGAGAGTCAGGAGACCTCTGTTCCAGCCCACATTTTGTCCTAACTGGGCTTTGCACCTCCAGGCAAGTCATATCCATTCTGTGCCTGTGAAATTGGAAGGGAGGAAGAGGAAGAAGACAGCAGTTTGAGGTCTCTCCCAGCTGGAGTATTCTTTCCTTCTAAGGGCATACAGAGCAGGAAGCCCTAGAGAAAGAATCATTTAGCGCTAGTGACAAAGCAACAGATTCTACAACAGACATGCTCACATTTTTCTGGGTAGTGCATATGCACAGAAGTCTGCCCCCACCGGCTCTCATAGGCACTGCCAGCTACCCAAGGTCCAGTCACTGGGGTCCCGCCCCTGGAGGTGTTGCTGCTACCCCTCTCATTCCCTTGAGTTAGCCCAGGACAAGGGGCCTTGTGACAGCTGCAGCTGTTGCTATTGGTCTGGCTCCTTGTAGACCTTGGGCACTCACCTGGAAGCCTAATCACGCTTCCTGTTGGGGCCTGACATTTCTGGGGTCCCTGTTGCTTTCCCACAGGCTGCCAGGACAGGAGGCTCCCAATTCTGGCTCTTCTTCTAAAAGCAAAAATGCGTCCATTTGTCCCGGGTCACCAGGCTGGGCACAGGGCCTCTGTGGGGGCTAATCCTCCACCCCTTCTAATGGAGAGGATAGCAGAGACTTTGTGGGGACCTGGGCAGCTCTGCAGAAGAGCAGAGGCCACAGGCCAGGGAAGGCAGCAGTGGATCACTCAAACACAGTTCTTTAAATGCCCACTAGTAAGTTAATATTGCCATTCCCAGATCCAGCAGCATCCTCCATTCTTCTTAATTAAAAAGAGCTCCATGTCCTGGCAGAGCTGAGAGAGGGCTCTGAATGATTTACACGCTGGCCCGCCGCTCCGGCTGGGAAATCCGCAGCAAAGATTGATTGGCAGATGGGCCTGCCTGCCTCTCATGGATGGTGTGTGCCTGCCCTGGGGAAGAGGGGGAGGTAGGGGGGGAGTTTGGCTCTCCTGCTGGCAGACTCCGTGTGTGGGGTGTAGGGGGAGGAGCCCTGGACCCACAGCCCAATCCCACGGAGCTCTGCAGGCCCAGTGGTAAGGCCTTTCTTGAACAAAAGGCTGAACAAAGGCTCTCCTGCTCACCTCCTGCTGGAGTCCCTCATCCTAGCAAAACTATTTTATCTGGAGGACAAAAGCTCGGGTTGTGATGCTGTCATCTCATCCCAGCCCAGGAAAAGGGCCACTCCCTATAGATTCCCCTTATTTCCAGGTGGACATTGCTCACCTGATAACATTTTCTAGGCTTCTATTTGATCATCATGGCTTACTTAGGAGGAGGATTTCTCATGGCCCAAATCTCCTTTCTTGCCTTTCTGCTGGCACCCAGTATTGTCTGAACCTGATGTCAAGTGGGATCCAAGGCTCTGGGCCCTTTTATGGAGCAAGGAAGGGGATGACGGCGGCTCACAAGTTGGGCTGAGATGATTCTCAGCCTGGGGCCTCTAGAAAACTGAGAAGTGAGAGAAGTCACCCTGAGAGGTCCTAGCCTTCTTCTGCCTCTCCCTTCTTGCCAGACCTTGGGGCAGCTCCTAAGGGAGCAGCCTCATCCTTCACCCTGTGCCTCTGCTCACCTCCAGAGCCCACGTTTCTCCATGGGTGCCTGTCCACCGTGGTCGGGACCTCTACAGAGGTATGGAGTGGCTTTCGCTCTGGCACTGTCTCTCCTCACCTCTTCCCTTTCTCCTCTGGTGCTTCTTCACGTCACACATGCGCACGCACACACGCGCGCACACACGCGCGCACACACACACATCCACACATACATACAGAGACTCATGCATGCGCACTTACAAACACATGCACACACGTGCACACACACATGCCCTCCTCCCCAGAGGTTCTAGAGAAGGGACCAGGCAGAGGCACATTAAAAAGGAGGGGTTAGGGACTGCAAAGCAGGCATCATCCAGTGCCCTGCTTTAACTCTTGCTTCCCATTGGAGATCGGCAATCTGCCACAGCAGCGAGGTTGCCATCTGGTGTGGTGACCTGGGTTCTTTCTGTGCTAGAGAAAGAGAAGGGGGGAGGCGTGATGGGCTGGCTGCAAGTGGGCTGTGTGTGTGCTTAAGAATAAATGTAAGAGAGCCCAGAAAGGGGAGAAACAGGCCAAGCACTAGGTGACTCGGAGGGCCTACCGGTCCTCATTGGCACGCACCCCACGCAGTGCAGGCAGGTATGCACTAGGGAAGTCTGGGAGCCCCGGGGAACCTGCCGTGCTTTGCCAGTTGAGAGAGAAGCAGGGCACTCTCCCCTTGAGCACTCTCTCCTAGCCTGTCACCAGGAGAATGTGGCTACCTGCTTAGCGCCCAAGAGCTATCAGCCTTTCCCTGGACATCACTAGGCAAGAAGTAGAATGACACCTCTATTCACACCCTAGCCTCATTCACGCACCTCAGCAGAAACACCAGGGATCCTGTGTGTCCTTCTGTCCTGGGCAATCCTCGCCCAGAAAGGGCTATTCACTTCCTTGGATGTCATCCTTCCTTTGTGGTCCCAGCCTCAGGAGTTATGTTCTGAGAGGTTCCTTGGTTCAGACATCCCCAAATCACAGGTGAAGGCCTCTTGCAATACCCTAGGGCAGGGGTTGGCAAAGGATGACTCGGGGCCAAATCCATCCAGTCGCCTGTTTGTGTACAGCCTGTCATCTAAGAACAGTTTTCACATTTTAAAATGATTAGGGAAAAAATCCAAAAAAAAAA